CTGGCACACACATAGACACACACACACACACACACACTTCCCAGTCCCAGCAGTCAGGTCCCCGCCAGCCATTCCAGTCTACTCAATCCACTCCTCCCCTCCCTGGTCCCTCCTGAAGAGTTACTGCAGTGATTCCCTCCTCTTCTCCTGGAGGAGGGAGGGGGGATTCCATTTCCAGTGTGAAGTCACCTGAAGCAAAGAAGCCCGATGGATGTAAACCACGTGGCACGCACACCTAGGGATGATCAGTGACACTTCCTCATGATGCCATGATTTTTTGGAGGACATCTGCATTTATTAAAAACTGACAACATACAAATATACAAAAAAAAATAAATAAAAAAAATTAAAGAGAAAAAGCTCCTGGGTACCTATCACTAACAGCTTTGTAGGAAACACTTTTAATGTTTTCTCTCTTTCTCTCTCTCTCTCACACACACACACACATACACACATAAAGATACAAACAACAATGTGCATATATTTATTCTGTAATTTCGAGTGAATATAAATTGTAAAGGTCATGTTTAATCATTGTACAGTGATGCGTCTGGTATAGCTTTCCTAATAAATTTTTTTGAAAAAAATACATATATATATACATACATATATCTATATATATCTATATATATATATAGATATATATATAGATATATATATAGATAGAGGATACAAAGCTTGAACCTTAAACTTAAGCTATACCCTCCCCTTATGGAGAATTCCTTCCCCACCTTAAACCTGAAAGCTATTTTATTAATAACAGTTCAATGCACTGTGATGTTAACAGGAAAAAAAAAGACAAACCCCTCTGTCCAACTTCTCCTGCCAAGATACCACTCGAGACAGAAAAATCCGATTTACAATTTTGTTCCCCCATATTGCACTCTAGCTGTGTCAGAGCAGCAGAATTAACCTGGGTTTATTTTTTTTCGTATCATTATTGACAGCAGAACCCATGTTCTGCTTCATCCTTGTGGAAAATAACATATTTATATTAAAACTTTCAGCACTGGAATTCCTGCCAGGTCAATGGGTAGAGATCAGGAGAATGCTGGGAAGTAAAGCTGCATGCTCACTGGAGTAAAGATGGAAGGACGGTGGAGAGCTAAGGCCCAAGCCTGCGATTGTCAGGTCTTTCCCTTGCATTGCTAACCTGAGACCTAGGGTTGTGATGATTTACGAAGGAACAACAAAGTACATGTCTTTGATATGATGCTGAAAGTTGGCCTGAGCTGGCCTGAGATTTACAACCCAGCTAAATCTGAGCGAAACCAAAGAAAATCGGATTTTCTTTTTCTTTTAAGGAACTGGGTGGTATCTTGTTCCTGGTAGAACTGTGTTGGCACACACAGATAGAAATCCGAGGGAAAGCTATGTTGGGGGAGCTACCTAGCGCGGCCAGTAGATGGCGGTGGAGCTCCAGCGATCGCAGCATGGGCATGCAGCTGAATTGTGCAGCCCATCCCATACTTTCCGCTTGGACTCCCGAATCTGCCCTTAATAGAAATCATTACGTTGAATGTAATTCACCAGACGTCACTAATGCCTTACATCAAGATAGGGAACAAATTAAAAGGGAATGTGAATATCCGCTCCTTAGCTGTGCGGCTATGCCAGTGAGGCACTTTCCTAAAGATCTGAAATAATGAATTTTATACTGAAATAGCAAATCAAAAATATATTTTATTTGTGTTAATAAAGATGATAACAACAGTCATGGGACTTTATCAAAGTAAAATGCAAAAATGTTTCCACTGCGTCAAAAAAAACTGTGTCCAACACTCCTGCCCCCTAGGCCATTTGTTATAGTTCTCGCTAGGGGACTACAAGTCCATTCACCTTTTGGGAATAGGCAAGGAACCAGAACCTATGTTTGCACATATTGTGGTGTCCCATCAATATCAGATGTCCTGTTTTCTTTTGTGTCCCTGGCTGTCCCTTTTTTCTTCTGTGTAACACAATTATTTCACCCAGCACAATGTATCTGAGTGGAGTTAAAATGTGGATGCCTGTTTTCTCCCCAGATGTCCCTTTTTATAGTATGCACAGTGGCAGGTATGCGCAGCGTAGGCCGTCTGCCTGTCTGTATGTCTGGGAGACTCATCTGGGCATGGGGGGCTTAGAAAGCATTTCTGGAATCAATGGTAACCCTCTGTATGGTAGATAGGGGGCAGCTCCAAATGTCTGTACATCTTTATATCACCTCCATATTACTGGTTCATATGTTATGAAATTCAAGTCACCAGATCCCTCTATCATACTGATGGTGTTTTATTATTATTGAATTTCAGCACTAATCTGTTTTTTTATTTTTTTAATGGATAGTAGAAAAGCATGCACATATTTAAAATAATAAACATCAAAGTGCAAGGCCAGAACCTTCTGATGATAATCATTATAATTTCATTGATAATGCTGCACGCAAGCAGAACACAGAGTATATACAAATCAGGTTAAAGTACAAGCCCTGGTGTGACTGGTGCTTTATACATTTGGAAAAAAAAACAATCCTGAGTGTTCATAAATCATATCAAGTTACAGTATAAGCCAATTATAAATAATGTTTATATTTTATTTAAACTGCAAAAGGCAAGAGCATCTTGACTTAAATATAGGTAGCAATTTCACCTGCAAATGGTGAGGTAATATATTTATTCAGTGGAAATAAATTTATTCTATGAGAATGAAATTTTGTATTAAAAGAGATAATTTTTTGGCTTAAATTGAGTTATTTTTTTTTCCCTTGTGTAGGAAACTTTTTTCCTTGTGCATTACAAACTCATTGAAAGCAACTGGGGATAATTCCCTGTGGAAATGTTCAGAATATTTAACTGTGATATCTAACATGTATTATGATTCTTACATTGTTATTTCATTGTGGTAAGATGGGATGGGTGGATGGTAACTTTGCTGTCCACTTTAGAAAAGGGTGACTTATTTACATCCATCAACCTAAGTGACTCCTAATTAATAGGGATTATTATCATTATCAGCAGTATTATTGGTAGCATTAATAGTCTTTGGAAGGAATGAAATAAAGTAAAATGATTCACATGAGAACTGTTTAATGGGATAATATTTTAAATAAAAATGTTTTTTTAGCTTATTTCAATATTGTACTGGCAAATAGTTGATGCTGGTTCCAGCAATTTAATATTTTTGCTGATGCTCAGGATCTTCTGGTGTTTATTTTTATTCAGTAATTTGATATGTTGAAATTCTTCCTACAGGTGTAAAAGGGAAAAGGCCAGGTAAGTCTCAGTCATCGCATATACTATATGTATCAGAAGAGAGAGAGAGAAGAATACTAAATGTCAGTGCTCTTTCGTATGATTTTCACTGATAGTAAAGATGGTTCTTGGAAGCCTGGTTTTATAGAAAAAGCAGACATCTGTCCAACTTTTAAAAAATTGCCAAGACTGGGAAAATTGCTTAATTGGGTGTCTTACACTAAATTAAGAAAATTAAAGGTATTAATGTTTATGATATAAATCCTAGATCTCTTAATCCAATATCTGAGTTCAGTAGAATGTTCTGGCTCTGTAAGTCTGCCCTTGCAAGCCAATAAATGTGTGCTACAGTTTGGTTAATATTTAAAAGGGGTCATATATGAAGGACTTCAGCGCTGTTGAGAGCCAAAACATAGCCGTTTCAATTCAAGAGTATGTCAGAACATTTTGTTGCAACCTCATGTTTGGGATTTGTTTTCCCCTTTCTTTGTCTTTGTCTTTTTTAATGTTATTACTGTTGATTTGCTTCTGATTTAGAGATGATATAGTTGTGTGGTCAATTTTGGTTTCTCATCTGTGGATGTGCAAGTCAACGGGACACAAAATCTATTACAAAATGTTCATATGCAGGATGTAGGTTTCTCAAAAACTTCTGTATATAAACAGTAACTCATAAGTGTTTTGTAACTCATAATTAACTCGGCATTACCTTTAGTAGATCTCTCCATATGAATAAGTTACGCGATATTTCTCCTGATGTGTGCTAATCCATTGGTCCAGTGTTCTGTAGCTGTAGAGTCTGTCAAGTGAGCAGCCACCTTAATCACTGTGACAATGTTTCAGAACGGTACTCTTCGAATTTGTTTCTTCAGCCTAGATTTGCTGCATTTCTACAACTTGGTCCCCTTTACATTTTTATATTTTTATTTTGTGAGTATTCACACAACAAATGACATTCTTGAGTATTCCCAAATCTGATCCTCAGCATTAGTTCCTTATATGTTTGGGAGATCTTTTGTACTGGGAAAAGAAAATACTGTGAATTTTTCCTACTGCACAAATTCTTAATTTTTTACACCAAACACAGCAGTTTGCAGCAAAATGGCACTTTCCTACTTCCGTTTTCAGCAACATTTAGGCAAGAGCGAAAGTGTTTTCATTTTCCATAATATATTTTGGAACTAAACCACATGCACTCTGAGCTCAAACCTTTTCCCATTGCAATGCCATAATTAAATTGA